TTCGGGGTTTAGGGTTTAGAGGTTTATGGCTTAGGGTTTAGGGTGTAGGGTTTAGGGGTTTAGGGCTTAGGGTTTAGGGTTTAGGGGTTTAGGGGTTTAGGATTTAGGGGTTTAGGGTTTAGCGGTTTAGGGCTGTAGGGGTTTAGGGGTTTAGGGATTTAGGGGTTTAGGGGTTTAGGGGTTTAGGGTTTAGGGGGCTTATACTATACTAGAAAAAAGTGACGGAATATACTATAACCTGATAGAACTTCATGGAATATACTGTCGTGTGCTGTGGTATACCAGACTATAATATCATACTATAATACTAGAACTATGCTATACTATACCCTGAGGGCGTTTCAAGTTTAAGGCTTAGGGCTTTAAGGGCTTACGGGTTTAGGGTCTAGGGCTTAGGGCCATAAGCCTTTAAGGTTTAGGGCTTGGGAGGCTTCGGCTTTCGGGTTTTGGAGTTGCGGTTATGGGGTGGCTTGGGATGGTTGTGGTCGGCTTTGTGGTGGTGTTGTGGGGTTTAGGGTTTAGGGTTTAGGGTTTAGGGTTTAGGGTTTAGGGTTTAGGGTTTAGGGTTTAGGGTTGAGGCTTTGGGTGCTTCTTTGTCGGGCCTGCTTGAAGCTTTGCAGGTCTAGGGTTCAGGGCTCGGGGAGGTTTGGGATTGGTCTAGGGTTCAGGGCCCTAAACCCTAGACCCTTATTCTTGCCTGTCCGCTTCTACGGCGGTGATCCTCAGGATTTATCAGAAGCTCAGGCCCTTGTCATCACTCGCATTGCCTTCTTTTGCACAAAAACCACGTCGCCAGCATCACGGAGGGTAAATTGAAAGATGCAGGCTGTCTCATGGACAGCTTCGAAGCAGGACATGCCAGCTGGTGGGCCATAACTGTTGAGACTACTGCATGACTGCTGACTTGAGCGGCAGGGCAGGAGCGGGAGTGCTGCCAGTTCACAGATTTACAGCTTCCCCTGCCTGCGATGTCGATGCGCTGCGAGCACAGTCACTCTGACACATCCCAAAACGCTCAGCAAGACTATGGGGTGCATTCTTGCCTGTCCGCTTCTACGGAGGCGATCCTCAGGATTTATCAGAAGCTCAGGCCCCTGTCATCACTCGCATTGCCTTCTTTTGCACAAAAACCACGTCGCCAGCATCACGGAGAGTAAATTGAAAGATGCAGGCTGTCTCATGGACAGCTTCGAAGCAGAACATGCCAACTAGGCACCTGCATCCTCACCCACTCTCCCGGCACTGGCTAGCGACTGTCGTGGTCGCAGCCGCTAATTAAAGTGTTCCGTCACCAGCAGAGGGAACAGAACTGTAAGCCACTGTGTGCGCCACGTCTCCAAGTGCCGATTGTACAAGTAGCAAGACTCACCCAGCGAACAAGGATCCACAGCACGTCACGACTTACACATCTTGGCGTGCGTCGTAAGTAGCAAGCGCCAAGGTACCCACTTCCGTACCATCAGCCTGCAACCCAGAAGGCACAGTTGGACATGTGATGCCAGCAATACTGTACAAAAACAAATTCTGAAGGGGTGCCTGAATGCCACAGCAAACTTGTGCACATCATGCCAGATGCGAACGCAAGGCAGAAAGCTCACCCAATCAGACATCCACTGCGTTAACTGTCAGCTGCAGTCATCAATGCGGCGAGTTGCAAGGCACCAAACCCAGCGACACGGAAGAGCTGTGAAAGCGTCTGACGCCACGCGATGGCCAATCTGACGGGTTCTCATCAGAGGGGACCAGCACCAGGTAGACTTGCAACTCTCCTGCTAACTCTAGCGCTGCTGCCTTTCGCAAAAGCCTGTTGAGCTGGGTGGAGGACCTACCCTTTGCAGCTGCCCCCAGCCAGACTGCGCTGTCCACTAGCACAACCAGCCTTGAGCAATGCCGACGTCGGGACCGAAGCACCCAGCGCAACCAAATGAGAAATGCTTCACCCTCAAGCACATTGATGTGAGCAGCTTTGCGAGCTTTGATGCTGAAGATGTCCACAAAGTCGCCCAAGCTCATGTCCAGGTGGTGCGCTTCACCGAGGCGTTTGGCCTGTGCACCTGTGACAGTCCCGCCGTCCATGACCACATCATCGCCTTGCTTCTCGGCCACCCGAGCAAGACGACGAACCATCTGGATAGGAAGCTGAGCCACGCTCGCTCCGAAACCATGCGTCGTACTTGCATCAGTAGCTGACAACAAAGGCAAGAATGGCTTTTAAGGTCTAGACGCCAGAAAACGCCCAGCAACATGCCAACGGCCAGCTCAAACATCACAGCCTTGGGGAGCAACTGCAGGCCAGTGTCTTCAGGGTCTCTCACAAAGGCGTACACCCGGTCATACACAGACAACTTGCAACGTTGCAAAAGGTCGAACCATTGCTGAACACCCAACTGTTGCTGCACCTGCCTTGGTGATGCCTTCTGGGATTCGAGTAAATGCAACACAGTGACAATCATGGACAAGCATCGAGCTGGAGGAACTCCCAGATGCGTGCCATCCTCGAGTGACACACCGACGCAAGTTGCACAGAGCTCATCGTCCACATCTTTGGCTGCATTTCGAATGGCCCCGCGTTTGCTCAGCTCTGCATCAAGTTGCTTTGCAGCTCTCAACGTGTGACCTTCACCTTCATCACTGAAAACCATGACGTCATCGGTAGCTGCCGCAAACACCAAACTGAAGGCCAAGGAGTGATCGCTTCACACCTGCCACATGGCAGGTGTTCAAGAGGAACTCCTGTGCGATGTAGGAGCTCCAAGCAAACCCCATCGGCCACGTGAGACTGACTGGGTGAAGCCATGCGGTTTGAAGGCTCTCCCCTGGCAACAGGCAGGTCTGGACCTCCTCGACTGTCATGCCGCCGATGCTGCACAGGTCGTGCAAACTGACACGAGGTCTGCCCATCCAGCGTTGCAGCTCCGTCGGTAAACGAAGTTGATCAAACCAGCAACTGGCGTCCCTCTTGCTGCATCGCAGTTTCTTGCCAGAGCCACACTCGAGAAAAGTCAAAGCAGTTGGTGAAGCAAGATGCCGTGGCTTCGGTGGCTGGATGGCAGCTGCAGAGACACGACGTCCATGCCACATTGCCCGTTGGCGTTGGCCACCCGGCTTGCCTACTGCAATGACAGCGCCACCACCCTTTGCCCGCTCTGTTAGCCCCAGCTGCTTGGCCCTCAACTGCCTCACAACAAGCTTGACGTACTCAACCCTGTCCTCAGGAGCCATGTCCGAAAACTCTGCGAGCCCATCAGGCTCACCAGAAAACATAGAAACCTCGTCATTCACGATCTGTTGCACGTGCGCAGGTAACCACGGGGTTGGGTCACAAACTCCCGCTTGCGGCAAAACATCCACTGCGTCGGCGCGGAGGTCGCCGTACTTGGGCCCTGTGGGGCGGTCAGGCAGAGGCACCCAATCGGGAGTGAATGACTCCCACGAGCCAGGCTGTGGCCTTTGTAGGCGCGCATGAAACTCCACACTCCGAGCCACAACACGATGCACCACATCACTCTGTGCAGCAGTTCTGTGAAGCCAGCGATCCGGAACATGCTTGCAGCCATAACACCAGTTCAGAGCCCCAATTACTGCATTTGCAAAGTACCGCAACACTCCCCATCGTTGGCTATCCCACTCCGGCAGTTTATGCTCGCAGATGCCAAGTGGGGCCAAAGGAAAAACGTCACGCTGTCTGCCTTGTTTGGGTACGTTGCTCATGCCGGAGTCAGGCACAGTCGAAGGCTTGACGAGGCCCCAAAACCGCACGGCTAGCTGATACATCAACCATAAGCGGTCTTCAAGAACAAGTGCGTGTTGTTGGGATCTCCACTGAAGCCACTGCTGGAGCCTGGAGCGCGACCGTAGACGGCTCGCACGCGACCGGTATTTTGGCATAAACCCACTCAGCGCAGGGAGCCATAACAAAAACTTTTGAGACTACTGCATGACTGCTGACTTGAGCGGCAGGGCAGGAGCGGGAGTGCTGCCAGTTCACAGATTTACAGCTTCCCCTGCCTGCGATTTCGATGCGCTGCGAGCATAGTCACTCTGACACATCCCAAAACGCTCAGCAAGAATATGGGGTGCATAGTAGCCCTTATAGTAACCCTTACAGTAGGCTAACACGCTTTTTTTCACTGGTAGGTTGGGCTGCTTTAAGGTTTGTCTTACGTGGCAGGCGTGGGACTTTTGAGCATAAGCTAGTTTTGGGGCCTTAAAAGACTAATCCTTCCAGAAGTCCAAATCTGTGCAACTTCAACCGCCCAAGAAACTGATTCACAACGACCTTGCCCGACAGGATACAAAGAGTACTTGTGATGTTCTCATGATTGTACATTATTGATATTGTTATGATTATCGTGGTTCTAAGAGGGGTTCAGGGCGTAAGGCTTTGGGAGATGGCCAAAGGGACATGGATGCTCTGCGGGAACGACCGGACTTTGTGTGGACATTAACATGGTTTCTATCCAAAGAACAAAGGAACCCTATGTACACAATGGTTGCGACATGGATGCTCTGTGGGAACGGACTGACCTTGTGTGGACGATAACCTGGTTGGGACCTGGATGCTCTGTGGGAACGGACGGACTTTGTGTGGACGTTAACATGGTTGGGACATGGATGCTCTGTGGGAACGGACGGAGTTTGCGCATGGATGTTAACATTTTTGGGACATGAATGCCCTGTGGGAACGGACGGACTTTGTGCAGGCATGCCTGTATGTGCAAGAAACACAGGAGAATGCCAGGGGAAATAAGGCGCGCCCACCTTATAGTAGCCCTTTTAAGGAACCCCTTTAAAGGACCCTATTCTAACTATTCAGGCCTATGGGGCTGACTCAGAGTGGTGGGCTTCCAGGTGCAGGATAGTGTCGTGGGAGGTTTGGGAGGGCTTTGAACAACCTTGAAGCACCGAATCTAAAAAAAAAACATGCCACAAACCCAGTTCTGAACACAAAACACATCCTTCAAAGAACCCTAAACCCTAAACCCTAAACCCATCCTTCAAAGAACCCTAAACCCCCTAAACCCTAAACCCATCCTTCAAATAACCCTAAACCCTAAACCCTAAACCCTCAAACGGCTCTGGATCTCTGGAGCGCGCGCGAGCCTGTGATGGGCATCCGAGGACCCCCGAGGCGGCAGAGCTGCTCGGCCTCTTCGTAGAGCGCCGCCTGGCAGCCTGCGTTTAGGCTTTAGGGTTTAGGGTTTAGGGTTTAGGGCTTAGGGTTTGGGGTTTAGGGCTTATGTTTAGGGCTTAGGGTTTAGGGTTTAGGGCTTAGGGTTTAGGGTTTGGGGTTTAGGGTTTAGGGTCTAGGGCTTAGGGCTTAGGGCTTGGGGCTGCTAATATAGGGGCCTTAATCATTAGAATGGTACTTCAAGGGCTACTATGAGGGTTTAAGGTTTAGGCGCCGTAATAATTTGAACAGGGTTTTGGGGCCCACTATACTATACTTAAAATAAGGGAACCCCCCAAAATAGTATCGGTAATGATTTGGCCCCTCATTAGTGGCATTTCTTTTCCCTTCTGCTTGGGCGGGGGGGGGGGACATCCGGGAACTGTAGGTCCGAAAAAGAGTGCTGTAGGGGTTTTGTAAGGGTTTAGGGTTTAGGGTTTAGGGTTTAGGGTTTAGGGTTTAGGGTTTAGGGTTTTGTAAGGGTGGCCTTGTTCGTTTTGTTGCGGATGTTGTAGAAGTATTTCTTGTGTTTCGATGTTGTTTATGCTTGCTTTTGCTGGTGTGGAGGATACTTAAAGGACCGTGGGACTTAGTAAGTAGGGTTATAACTAAGGTAACTATACCTATGTTTACCCCCAAACCCTAAACCCTAAACCCTAAACCCCAATTGAGGGACATATAACCTCACTTACTAAGTCCCATGATCCTCCAAGTGGGGCCTGGCTTTGGCTTTGGCTTTCAGGCTGATGGGGTTTAGGGCATTAGGTTGAGGGTTTAGGGTTTAGGATTTAGGGTTTAGGGTTTAGGGTGTGGGGTGGAGGGTTTAGGGGTTTGGGGTTTAGTGCTCTGGGTTTTGCCGGGTATGAGAACATGAAAGCGAACACCCCACACAAGGGAAGTTCGTGGCTTGGGGCTTGAGGGCTTAAGGTTTAGGAATCAGGTCTTGATTTTTTGGTGTACTGTAAGTATACTAAACCCTAAAGCCTAAATCCTAAACCCTAAACCCTAGACCCTAAACCCTAAACCCTAAACCCTAACCCTATACCGTGGGGACTCTACCGGACACGATTTCGAATTATTCAGACCTCTACATCAAGTTTCGAGTGCTAGGGCTTCTGGGTGTATAAGGGGCCCGGGCTCTTGAATTTAAGGGTTTAGGGTTCGGAGCTTCAGGGGTTTAGGATTTTAGGGGTTTAGGGTTTAGGGTTCGGAGCTTCAGGGGTTTAGGGTTTGGGGTTATGGGTTTAGGGTTCGGAGCTTCCGGGGTTTAGGGTTTGGGGTTT